ATTAAAAAAAAGAAATAAATAAATTATTAGGCGCGCAAAATTTATTTATTTTTTATTAACAAATAAAAAGAAAAAGAAATTTTCTATATTGGTGCAACCTTTCTTATGTCCATGTAATGATTGACAGCTGTTTGTTTATGACGCGAATATTTTCGGCCGACTTTTAATAAAAAAAAAAAAGAAAAAATTTAACAACGCATTTTCTGGAAGTTTCTTGTTATTGAAAACGCTGTTGAAACTGTTGAAGAAGTGTTTTGGCAAGTGTACTTTGTCACGAACACAAATGAGTCCCAAAAAACAAACCGTGAAGCTCGTGAAAACAACGAAAACTTGCCTCTTGCGAGTCGCCAATGATTGTATTGGCTTGAAAGTAGCCTCTTTTGAACACAAAAATAAAGGTCTTTATAAAAATAAATGTATGAACATTTTTTTATATTACTATTATTTTTCATATTTTTTTGATCAGCTGTATTACATATTTTTGGTATTCAAAAAGCAGCAAATCGCCTGCCGCGCACTATTTTAATTTTTACTTTTCGCTGGCGCAAAAATACTAGCGTTTGTAGAGTTCGTCAGTGGTGTGTAAATAAGCGCGTACTAAGCTTGCTTGCATATAAATAGTTAAACTGTAGTTAGGTAGTTTTTTACTAAGCATATGTATGTATGTGGTGGCTACATATGCGTTTGTCAGTGTTTTAACGCCTAAAATTATGTTTACTTAAAGCAATGCATACAATGCGTGCAATTAATTAGGTGGTTTGGCATAACTTTCAACTTAACCTAAAATGTTTACTTTTACATTAAGACTTAAAATTAACTATGCTAGCTGCTAATAGTACATATTAGCATTAAATAGTGTTTTGCAGACAATGTCTATAGCCATTTTTCTTTTTTTTTTTTGATAGTATACTCGTATATACATATACATATGTATGTATATGTTTATGTGTATTAACATTTATGTATTGTTTTTATTGAAATAATAATTTAAATTAGCGTAATAAATAATATCACAATGAAATGTTTAGCTGTAACTTATTTATGTATATAAAAATTATGTTAATTTAGCATAGAAATAAGAAGAGAACAAACAAAACACGTAAACAAAAACAACTCAACTGCGGTTAATGCGCCAAATCGAGGAGGTGGAGGGAGCGTGAGTGTGTGGTGTGCAACAATTTTTTTTACTCATTTAAAACCACATGCGTCACTATTCTTTAATACACTTCCTCCCTAGTTGGTAAGCTCAACGCTGGCGTGCACTTTCTTCCACTCAACAGCATAGCGGCAAGTCGGCAATTAGTATGGAGTTGTTATTGTTGTTGCGGCAAAAAATCACATCACTACAGTAATTTGGCGAAAGGCTGCTGAGTTGACAGTGCTCGCTCGCATCAAAATCCGGCTCGCTGCCATTTACGCAGACCCGACTGTCATATGGAGTCGTGAAAAGCAGTTAGTTTATTTATTTACACCTCATGAAAATTTGTACTACTTGAAAAGCGCAACACAATGCGGCGTACGCTGATGCTTATGACACTTTGTGTAGCTGCTCGGACAGTTCACTTGGCTATGCACCGTTTTTTTTTCGAATGTAAGTAGGGTTATGTGCACGAGAAATATGCTTGCTAGTATCAATATGACACTATATACACAATCCATATTTTACGTGGCCATTTGCAAATTTCCCAACAACTTATATAACTGTATAAATATATTTGTATTACGGATGTGTGTATGTGTGTGTGTACTATAAATTTTATGAACTACAGTCTTATTTTTTGGTGTACTATCATCACTGGTTGGACACATACACATGGCGTGTATGTATGTGCTACAACTTTACGCTTTGTCCCAGTTGTTTATTTAAATATCAACGGTTTGCGCATGCGCCGCACTGTTTGTGGCATTTGCTGCACGCAAATTGGTTTTACAATTGCCATTGAACGTGTTGCGATTATTTGACATTACGGCGTTGTTTCCTCCGCCATCAAAATTGTTGCCGCTATAGCTGGAGGGAAAGTGCATTTTCGCAGTGTTCGGTAAACGTTCGTAGCGTTGCTGTCGCTCGTGATTGGCATTAGTATGCGCACGTATGTTGTCATTGTCGGCACAATTCGGTTTGTTTAGGAAGTGTGTGCGCTCATTGGCCGTCTCAGTGTCCGCATCGGTGTCGGTTACTCTTTCGGCATGTGCGTCTTTGTCGTCGATGCGCATCGTGGCCGCCCTGTGTCTATCGAAATCCAACAACTCCACATCACATTCCGAAACGCCCAACGCATGCGTTGCTGCATAGAGCAAATCCGCATCGTCCATGTCGCCGCCATCGTCCGCTGTATAGGAATCGCCCAAGCAGTCGTCGCCGTAAACATTGCCGCGTTGTGTGTGTGTTGGCTTGTCGCCATTGACCGGCGTTGTGGCGCAATCGGTGGTGCGTTGCAAGCTACCTGTTGTTGTTGGCGCCAGTCCGCTTATAGTGAAATCATCTATGCTACGTTTAACCGCCGTATCCGAGCCGGTACCAGAATCCTTGCTCGATAGATGATCTTGATTATGGTCAACGTCAATGGCAACGCCTGCGTTGTCGGCCAACGAAATGCGCTTCAGGTACGACAATGTGAAGTGCTCAGCATCGTTGTCAATATCATTGCCAGCATGTTGCTGCAGCAGCTGCTGGTAGTTGGGTGTGTGCGTGATAATCAAGTTTTGGTGGGGTTGTCGCTGACTACCATGCTCCACATTACCGTCATTGTTGACTGCGTCGGCCTCAAAATCACCCAAGCTGTTTGGTCGCTGCCGCTGCGCGTCCACATGTGACTTATGCAGCAATGTGCGGTTAAGTGTGGTGAGTTGTGTTTGATCCAATGCGCTGCCGCGACTACTGTTCAGCAGTTGTGTGCTGGTCGAGGCAATGCGTGTGCCACCGGCTATGAGACCAGCGCTACCCGAAAGCAGACCACTTGGTGCGCCACTTGTGCTATTTACGATTTGGCAAGCTTCACGCTGACGGCGTTTGAATGCTTTGCGACGCTGGTGCAGGCACAACGCAAATATGACCAAGGCAATGATAAGCACGCAGAGCGCGGCGACTGTGACCACACCGAAAAATATCATATTTTGACTCAGTTCTTCCTTAACCACAATTAGCTCCGTCTGCACGGTGTACGTCTTCGAGTTGTCGCTAATTTCGCAGCGATAATGACCCGCATCGGCCGACTCTGTATTGACAATGACCAAAAGTTCATGTTCGGAGGTGAAAAAGTAACGCTCCGAGTCGGCGCTGAGCGTGCCCAGATGGAAGGGCTTGTTGTCTTTGAACCATTCACGATGTGGCTGACTCAAATCGGCCGCTAGTTCGCTCAGGCACTGCAACACGCTGGACTCACCCACCACTGTTTCTTTTCGCACTATCGGTATATTGGGCTGCGGCTTGTCTGTGGTGAATAACAGAAAGTTGATAAAAATTATATAATATTAAGTTATGCAATATTTCAACTAAACCTACCATTTACAATCAAGGTGGCATTGACTTTTATTTCACCCGCTGCACTTTCGGCTGTGCATGTATAAATGCCGGTATCAATCGGCTTCGCATTGGTAATCACGAAAGCATTCTCCTCACGTATGACCTGCAAACGGCGTTCCGTTGCCGCGGGAAAGTCACTGCCACCGAACTTTTGTAAAGCTATTTCCGGTGTAGGGTCACCTGCGGCCGAGCAAACCAAACGCGCGGTTTCGCCCGAATCTATAGTGAGATTTGAGGGCACTTGCAAAAAAGTTGGGTGAACTGGAAATAAGAAATATTTATGACATTTAGAACAAAAAAATTTAGAAAATTTAATAGTAATTTTACACACACACTGAAGGTGAATATCATTGAATTTTTGTTTGTTGTAACTTACTGCCAATGGATACTTTGAATCTTTGCGAGTAGGTAGTGCCGAAAGCGTTGGAGACCACACACTGGTAGCGCCCTGCATTCGCATAGCTGACATTGTATAGCCGCAAATAGCCGCTAATTGTGGTCTCATTGGTGCCTTCCTCTTGGCGTATGCGTGTTTCGGTTGTGCTGTAGCTGCCGCCATTTGCAACGCCGGCACCACTGTGATGCATGGCGAAGGCGTGTCCACGCTCGCGCTCACGTATATTTTGGTTATCGTGGCGCCATTTGATTTTCAGCTCATCGGCGGCCGCTAAGGATGCCGCCGTTGGGGAAATGGCGATGCACTCCATGGTGATGTTGGCGCCGCGCACAGTCAGTTGGCTGGCAGGTTCCTGTATGATGGTGGGCTTGGGCGAGTTTACTAGTTGCAAAAATAAAAAATCAATATTGTGCGGTTATATTGCATGCGTTTACGAAACTCACCACACGTTAAGTCATTGCTGCTCAAAGCTAACAACTGATGATCGAACAATTCCTCTGGATAGCCACAAACTGCATTTTCCAACTGGACTTGCGCGCCATTACTGGATTGTTTGTAGCGTCGCAGCCAACGTTGGAACCAAGTCAACTCACAATCGCATATGAAATTCAACGACTTAAAGCTTAGCTTTTGTAAGTGTGGCATGTGATCGAAGGCGCCCGCCTGCACGGTGGCTAATGCGTTGCCACCCAAGTTCAGCGACTCCAAGCTGCTCAAGCCGCTTAGCGATTTACTCATGACCTGCTTCAAGTTGTTCCCATACAAATCCAGTTTCTTGAGCTTGCGCAGCACCTTGAAAGGCGGCGTTGCACCGGGATCCTCGATGATCCAAGCCAGCTTGTTGCGGCGTAAATTCAGATCCTCTAAATTCTTCACACAATCAAACGTATTATCGGCCAAGTATTGTATTTTATTGTGTCCCAAATTTAAATGACGCAAACGCTTCAGACAATCTAAATGCTGCGGCTTGAATTCGCTGATGTTATTGTGCGACAGATCCAGCGAGATTAGCGATTGTGTGAACTCCCATGTGTCGGACTCGATGCGCGAAATGGAATTGTTCGATAAACTCAAGTGGTGTAGCTTGGTTAGATTGTAGAGACCCTGCCGGCTGAGCGATGTGATGCCGTTGTGATCCAATTCGATTGTTTCAATCGCGTGCATCACATAGAAAACGCCATCCTGCAGTGTGCGTATATTATTGGATTTGAGAAAGAGCTTTTGCAGCGATGAGAGTCCGCGAAATGTTGACCAATTGATTTCTAAATGGTTGTTGTTCAAAGAGCTACAAAATATCGGAGGCTTAGTCATAAGAGTCCTTAAAGGTGTTTTATTAAATTTACTCACAGTTTACGCAATTTTTGGAGTGTACGAAAAACACCGGCGGGCAGTAACAATAAACGGTTGTTATTCAATTCCAAGTCCAATAAGTCACCAAGATGCTGAAAGGCGTCTTCATCAATGCTGCTAATCTCATTTGAGTTGAGAATGCTAAAAAGTAATGAAAATATTTGCAATTAAAAGTAAACAAAACAGTTTCACTATTATACTTCTACACTATTATTGATACTCAAGCGCAGGGTTGCAAGCAATGCATTCGAACAATAATTGGACTAACATTTTAATTAAAATTTTTTTATTATCGGAAATCTTAATTAAAAATAATTTTAAAATTTTTAAGCCCAAATACCGGCTTGAAAAAAACTAATTAATTCCAAAAACCGGTTATAATATTCAATTTTTCAAAACTGAAAATGGAAACTGATTTTTTTTCTAAATTGTTTGATTTCTATTTTTAAATACTGAATAAAAGAATTGATTCCCAAGTTTACATTTAATTTTTATTAAAAATTAATTAAAAATTTTAGTTTTTAAATTTTTCCTGTTTGTATTCTACCTTTTAGGTTAACTTTTAAAAAGGAAAGCCTATTTTTAATAAAATATCAACATAGATCATTGTCTGATTTACATTAAATTACTTTTAATTATAGTGTTTCCGTTAGAAATATGTAATTATTTCCTTTTTATTCTTTTTAATTTAAGCTTTTATTTTGAAA